AGGTTGCACTGCTCACCGTCAAATTAATCGTGATTGAAAATTAGATTACAATTAAATAGGCTCTTATTTTTTTTTACGTAAATTTCTGATAAACTGGTTGTTTTATATAGGCTTTTTAAATTACACAAATCTTAAACTGAAATTTTTACTATATAAAAGTTAAATTGAATTTTTAATTTTGGCATGAATATCGCAGTGTTACAAAGCGACAAAAGTCAATTTTGCGAAATTTATTTAGAAATCGCGTTTTGATTTAAAACATTTTTATGAGAGACATTGCAATAATCCAACATTATTAACAATTAGACTACCACGTAAATAAAATCCTGTCAACAAAATTGATTATAATGATAAATGAAAAACAAGTTGTCATTTTCGGTGACACACTATTAACATAAACGTTACTGTAGAATTGTTAATATTTTCCAACTAAATTTGTTTAAAAACATGTTCCAATATCCATTCAATTGTATCTCATTCAGACACACTTGTTCCTCATTTCATGTCAATACAACAGTTGCCACTGAAAAACATTATCGCATGTATAAATATTTTCATATCACGCACACTGAAACGATGAACTTTGCAAGTTTTGTAATTTCGATTCTCAAAGAAAGTGATATTTTGCCGAGTCACGTTACACCTTATGCAAGATGGCATTGTAACCGCGTTTAGATTAGCTACTTTAAAAAGTAAAATCTTCACCTGTAACGCCTCCCGCAGTTATAATAACTATTGCAAAATTTGATTTTGCATAACGTGATTAATAACAAAAAATACGAAAAGTGTCTCTCAAGGTGCTGCATTAGGACCGATTCTTTTCTTTTGTTTTTATTTTAAACTGATTAATAAACGTTTGATAGTAAATTATAAGTCGTGGTTCTGCCTCCCATTTACTCGAAATAAGCTATTAAACGAGCTCTTCGCGTTTTGAATGCTTCTAATTAGAAAGGTTCGATCGAATTTATAGACGAACGATAAACAATTTTTGGCCGTCGGTAAGTCCTCACAAAGCGAGGCTCATTCTCAGTGCCCAAACGATGATTATGCACATTATTGACATAAACAACAATTGCACCGACGGTCTGGGTTATAGCAAGGTCAGGATTTGGTGTGGTCTAGGAGAGAATCAGCCGGAAATTGAACTTTCAAGAGACCCAAGATGAGACAATGAGGGCTAAATGTTTAATAAAAAATAACCTTGAGGAGTATTTGAGTTGCTATGCAGAAAAATTTGATAATTTTTGTAGTCATTTTGTTTACAATAGAGATAGAGTGTATAGAGTGTATAGAATCACTTGACATAACTATAATAATTTAAAATAATGTAATTATATTTAAATAATGTAATTAATAATTAATGTATTAACGCTGTGTGCAACACTATGTGGGTCATTATGAGAGAAAAAAAGTTCAACTTATTTGCATAAGAAAAATTGCTTACAAGTATTTCTTTCTATTTTAGATTAATTGTTCTTTTGTATAAGTGACTTGCTCAATGGATAATAGTAGATTGTTGATTATTCGTGTGTAATAGCTTGTAGTGCATTGGTATTGCACAAGAAGCAAAACTAACTGCATTTAGAAAAATATTAAAGGACTATTGTGTTAGCTTTGTAGGTGTTTCGTCACGAATATTGCCACCTTCAGACTGTGGAATAAAACAGACAAAAAATTGATTGTTATCTCAAATTTTTATACAAAAACTTGTTATATTGGTAATGATGTTTACAAGAACCAACAATGTTTTAAATGAATAAAAAAACATTGTTATTGTGTCTATAAACAATTGCCATAAAATTCAGGTTTTAAAACATTAAAACATACTCGTAGGTTGTGCATCAAGCAACCAACGACTTTTCAAACGTTACATTATTTTTGTATTAAATCTAATTTTACAAATAGAATTTAAATTTTTTGAACGAAATTAAAATCCGCGTCATATTTTTAACATATTACAGCCAAAAATAACTCGTTTTCTTAAAGCTATAATAAGACATCAGTGGATAAATGTCAAAATTAGTTTCTGTTTTGTTTCAGCTACTAATTGACACACTTTTCTTCAAAAATATTTGACATGAAACCACTGATTGGTTAAAAATGTTTGAAAATGACTTACTGCTACTTGCTGATAAATCATTCGAATTCGAAACTGAAAAGACGAAAACGATTATTAAAACAGGATGTTTGAGATTGTTACATGATAAATAATAAAATTCCCTGAGTATCTCCGATTAATAAGGATGTAATCAAAACCGCCGGCACGTGGTTACGAGAGCTTACAAATGACTCCTTAACTTGGAGCAATTTAATGTTATGGCTGGCCATAAATTTCAGCAGTGTGCTTCTGTCTGTAACGTGATCCCTTGTAAAATATATATAGACGACAGGAGTTTTATTAAAGGTTTTTAACACATCGCTTGCGGACCTAATTATTATTATCTTTTGATCTGTATGCATTTTTATGAGCTCATTTATTTCGAAATAAATGTAATGAATGTGTATGACCGCAACAATAGTCTAAATATTACTGTACGAACATTTGCGGCAGGGGAAATTGAAAAATTGTTAGGCTTGTAATGAGATTCAGATTTTTGTTACACTGCCACAAAGCGAATTATAATTTATAGTGTAAATAATAATTATGAAGAAATGCGTGTGCTAAAAAGTAAAATGTAATTATAAGAGCGACGGGTGTGCTGAGGTGAAGCATGAAATAGAGAAATTATGCCTGCCTTCGCGTGTAATAAATAAATAAGATTCGTAGCGATTGCTTCTGGTAAGACTTCCATAAAATTTTATAAAGTTATTATTGATACAGAAAAGAAACAAACATTAAAATTCGAGAAAGTGTTTAAAACATTTTTCTAATAACTTAGGTATAGTAATAATTTGTACATTGATAATTTGTATTTTGATGTACAGGGCGTCTTTATTTTTAGGGCCGGTGCAAGAATAAATATTTCTAATTGATTAAAAAAAAAATGTTAGCGCGGTAGAGGATTATAGACTTTACCTAATTTGATGCTTTGATATTGTTCAAAATTTTTAGCGTCTGTCAGTGAAACCTTAAAAACCAAATTTAAAAAAAATAATTAATTAAAATCCTTTCTACATGATAAAATTTCTTGATTTTTTCTGGTGATAACTGTAAAAATTGAATAATGTAAAAGTTGATAGATTTTTTTTTGGTAATTAACATTTCAATTTTAAAAATTAGAAATAGGTACTATTTATGACCAAATTTGAAATGATGAGCCAATGATAATGCATTGACAATAAAGCGAAGGCTTTACAATAGTGCCCGATTCGTCATAAACGTCAGTGCAGAGCTTTTTCTTTTATCTGGCCTGATCAACAATTACCGCAAACCCCACATAAATTATTCAAAGTTTCAGATTTTCAATATTAAAATGTTAATTATTCAAAACCTATCAACTTTTTTTATTATTCTATTTTCACAAATATGTACCACAGAAAAAAATCAAAGAATTTTGTCATGTAGGTAGTAAATTTTCCAGTTAATTAATTTTTTTTTCTCCAAATTTGATTTTTAAGGTCTCATTACCATACGTTAATTTTTTTTACAATATCAAAACATCAAATTGAAGTGTATTTAGTTAAATAAGGATAGTTATCCTTTACACTATCAAAATTCTTTTTCAAATAATTAGAAATATTTATTTTTGCGCCGGCCCTAAAACTTGGGACACCCGGTACATGGTGACTGATAATAGCTTTCGATCCTAGATATCAAATTAAAAATATGTTTGTAGGTAATTAATAATTATTTGTTGTAAGACGTACTAAGCAACTTTAACTTTATCTAATATTGTTTATAGATTTCTAAAACATAAAATAGTAAATATTTATGTATCCATTATTCAAGTTACAACATAACATATTCAGTTTGACAATTTGTTTATTTATGTGTTGTTTTAACGTTTTTAAAAAAATATTCAGTTTTAAATTTCATCACAATATATCTAATTCATTTTTCAATATACCTAACGTTCATATATAATATATAACGTTCATATATAACGTTCTAGATACATTATGTAAGTACTTACTTAAGACACAATTTCTATAAATACAAAGCGATCAAAAAGTCCTTTTTTATTAAGTAGGCTCACTGGTTTAAGTCGTATGTTATATGACAGTACGTTAACTAGAACTCGAAAAATTACTTTATAAAGATTAAAATACAAGTTGAATTATTCTATAAAACCTCTCAAAAGTATTTTTAGTGGTTTTGAATGCTGTGGAAATCACAGCAAGCTTTATAGTTTACGTTTTTTTCTTAAAAACTATAACTAAACATTTGAATAAAACAAGTGTTTCGACTTTTTTAGACCTAGACTTAAAATTTTAGCACAACTATTAACATTATACTATACCTAAGCAAAAGTTTATTATCAATGTTTTACTTTTATAATAATTTTAATAGATAGATTTTCAAAATGATTATTTTTAATTTAATTATAATGCTAAATATTTGTTTTGATTATAAATAATGATTGTTGTTTTCCAACTTGTCCTCGTCATATTATATTATTTCTTAAAAACACAAACAGAGAATAAATAAGTTTTTGTAAATAGCATTTTTTTATTTATACTTAATAAGTAATACTTATACAGGGTGATTTTAGTAGTTGTGTATAAATTTTAAAAGGTGATAGTAGGTAGGTACAGCTCGAAAGATATCAAAATAACTCATCAACTTTTCTTATCCGAATGTTTATGGTAGAAGACTAAAGACTAAAGCTCCATTTAAGCGTGAGAAAATTCGTCAAAAAATGCAATGGGTATAAATAAAGTTTGCATCTTTTGAGTAGGTAAGTAATTTATTCCAAAGATTACATTGCTAATACGCGGTAACATTTTAGGTAATAAAATTCTGTGGTATTTTTGACAAAAAAAAATACATAGTTGCAAAAATTTATCTTTTTATTGTTTTTTTTTAAAGGAAGTTAAAACTTTTTTCTGTAGCTGTTTTTACTATTTTTGACTCCTTTTTTAAAATAATATAACAGATTTTGAAAAATTAACCTCAAGGATTATATTTCTTTTTTATATTTATTTCTTTTATTGTTTTTTTTTATTACAAAGACACTTTCTATGGCTGTTTTGCTCCTAAAATTTTTGCACAATTATTAAAATCACCCTGTATTTACAAACACTAAATGGCAATAATAAATTTGGTAAATGCGTTCTAAATTTTTCTTAAACAAAGTGACTTCAGAAAAGCAAAGATAAAAATAGCCAAAATTTTTATTTAGCTTTAGGTAATCATATTACTTCTTGCATGTAATTTTTAATATTATAAATTTAGGTAATTTGTAAGACTGTAGGCATAATAATAATTACAGTCAGTCACGTTCATGCAGTGCGAAATTTTGGTGTTACTACTAAAACCTTTAAAACTGTGAAAATACAAATACGTCATAATTGTAGTTATTAATCTACATCTTTATTGTTAAAGCAATTATACAAAAAACAATATAATAAAAAAACATTTTGATAAAAAATCCTGTCACAAAATGACCGAAATTACTGTCTGAATGAAGACTTTTGTGACTGGTTTTAAAAATGTTATTAATGTTTTATTACTAGTACCTACAACGTAAATATTTAAATATTATGTAAACATAAATAATTAAGCAAGTAAAAACCATTTCCTACATTTATTTGAAAATGCAAAACAAAAGTAGGTATTGTAACTTAAACAATAAAAAAATCTACTAGGTAGGTATATCTCCTTAATTCATTAAAAAAAAAAGTTAAAAATACATACCTGCTTATAACTCCATTTTACACATTGATTTAAAATCATAAAGTAAATTTTAATACAGAAACTACCTATGTACTTTCTAGTAAGGGTAAAATATAAAACAGGGCTGTGCGCAAGTGTGTGTAATAATAGGTACTTTGTTGTGTGTTGCAACAGTTGTTTATTACTAGTTATTAAGTACACTAAAAGCTTTTATTAAAAAATACTTTTTGCTTGAAATATACAAACAGAAGTAATTTTAAATTATATGGCCATTTCAAAGTTATCTATGCTATGTATAAGTGAAAGATGCTCTTTCAAAAAGCCCCTCAAGTCAATAAATACTCCAAAATCACTTTAAAATAGCGTCAATTTGTAAAAGACCCTTGAAGTTCGCGTTTCGAGTGTCAAAAGTCAAAACACGCTATTTATCTCATCTCATCAATCCGACGGTCTATGTTCATGGGAAGATGCGACCGCAATAAGTTATTCGTCCCAGACTCTTGTCCCGACACAAAGCTTTAAGTACTTCCAATTTATAATCTTTTATTTGTAAACGACCGTCGATTTGTAACTCTACCTTTGTGGTCTCGGAGACACGAGTTGTTTACATCGAGCTATTGTCATTTAGTGCCTTTTAGTGAGATTTAAACCGATCGAAATAGATAAATGTTTGTCGATTTGTTAAAAATCAAGTGACTTACAAGCTCCAGCAACGTGAACTTTGCGCATCCAAGGGTATATTTGTCTGTCTCCGGTTTCTTCATCATCGTCATCTTCGTCGTTGTTTGTTGAACTTCCTTGGCCGTCATCCCCGTCGTCTTGCTCATCGGAATTGCCATCTTCGAGTCGCAAACCTAACTCTTGAAGGTGTTGTCCAGAGGGTGAAGTCTTTGAGTCTTGATGACACGACCCCGGGCTACACACACTAGATTTCACATCACAATTTGGGGTAACATTGGGCGTAATGTCTGCTAAATTTTGAAGAATGTTCGAGGAACTTGTAACTGGTGGTTGGGAATTTTGCAAACTATCACACATAGGCTGAGTGTCGTGCAAAATCGGCGGCCTGATTTGGTGGTGTATGGGTGGCCCATGATGGGAGTGTATTTGCGGATGGTAGTAATTACCATACCCATATCCGTTACTTAGCACATTTGAGTTGTAATTTTGATGGTTATGATATCCGTACTGGAGCTGTTGCTGTTGAATGTGGTGGTTACCGAAGAAGTCTCCTCCGGGTGGGATGTAACTATTCTGGTTGTACTCTTCACTTGGGGGAAACTTAGGATCGACGACAACACCACTAATGTGCTGGGGTTGCTGATACGTCGGTAACGCCGTCCCCGGGTTCATCAAAAACGAGCTCATCATTAATTTTTCCTCACTTCTCGATAAAAGCTTTCGGAATAGCGTGCCGTGGATTATACGGTGGGGGGTTTACTACGCACTAGTGACTCTTTTTTCTCTTCCCCTACTATACCACTTGCGCTGACTCCGCCTTCAATTAACTCACCACGTGACGCGACCCTACCAATAGCAACGGCTGACGTCACCGACCATGATGGATGACGCTACTTAGACGAGAGGTGGGGGCTCACATACACGCGGTCGGCTAGAAAGCCTCTAAATCACTACAATTTCGCTAAAAATTCGATCACTAAATAACCGCATTATTTCCAATGTCTATCACTTAGTACGTACAAAGAGAGTCACGAGCTTTTATTATAATTGAAGACGCGAAACGAGAGAAGACACGACCTTTCCCTTTACTGGTCGCGTATAAACTGGAGGATGGTGAAAAGCTCGCTATACTTTACTCCTCCCACTTCTACACGTCGCCGCTTATCAAATGTTTCTCTTGCGCAGTTCCTTCGGGTTCTCATGGGAGAAAAAGAGAACGAGAAGAAGTCTTCAGCGCCGTCATCATGTGCGTCCCGAGGGAATTTCAATATTTTCCCAAATACTGCGAGAGCATTGATGGGAAATTTTGGTTTTTTGGTAATTTGCCACGAGATAAAACGTCTAATTACGAAGAAAAATACATTTGGGTGGAATTGAAATGTGACAAGTTTTTCATTAATTATTATGACAGGAAGTTGGAGTTATTTTTAGGTAGACTCCAAAGCAATTATTTAAAGCTATTTAAGCAATATTTTTATATAATAACAAGTTAGTGTTCTACTAAGTTTCTGATTTTTTATTTACTATCTATCGATTTTAATTCACAAAGATATTTCTGTTTTTAATAATTAATTTGAGTGCAAATTTCTAATGACATCATAATATAAAGATACTAAGTATAACTCAAACACTGTTAATTAAATTTATAATTTCCAAAACTTGTAAACATCCAGAGACTTGTCCTAAATTTCGATTATTTCCTAAAGCTTAATACTCATTTGTAGGTGTTTCATGCAAAATTTTCTTATCAAGATCACGATTTTTTTAATAGGTATAAGTTTAGGTATTATATTAAAAAAAACAATTTCAAATGTATAGATAGGTAGGTATACTCAAAATAAGTAAAATTTTTTGAATAAGTTTTTATACAAGGTGCGCCAGTACCTACTTGCGCTCCGGAGAAAAATACCATGTAAGGTAAGATACCAAGAACATGGAAAAGAATTCTATTTATAAAAATTTCGAAGTTATGAGAGCTTACATTTTACACTTTGACTCTATTTATTTCTGTTACAAAATTTTATTTTTTTTCAAGATTTTTTGCTACAGGCTATTTGAAGAGAAAACAAGAAGACTGTATTCTAAATTGTAACTCTGCTTAATGTTATTTGTGGCTTTTATTACCAAAATTTTTTGTACCTTTATTAAATAATTATAAAAAAGACATACAAGATCATCAGTATCATTAAATATTGACATAAAAAATGTCAAAAGTTAAAAAATAATTGTCAAATTTTTTTGACAGATAGAATTTTTTAAACATTTTTTTTATGTTCCTAGTATATTTTATCTTCCTTGAAGATTATCTTTGGGGCGCGAGTTCTGACACATCCTGTATAATATTTAATACTAATGGTTTAAAGAAATATTTTTTTACCAAATTTCTACACTTATTCTCTGTACCTCCTTTAAACCAAATTTCTGTAATATATACTTATAATGTAAATATTGAAGTGAAAGGTTTTTTTTAATTTACAAAATCCCTAGATTATATTCTAATATCAATTTTCATTGATTTCCAAACACTTGAGATGTGTTTCAAAATTAACAAAAATTCCAATATCTTTTTCAAAATAAAAATTAAATTTATCGAAATAAACCTTAATCCTTTTTTGAAGTTTAAACAATTATTTATAGTACAAGTATAAGTGGCTTCTGTTGCATACGTAAAAAATAGAGTTCACAAAACGAATTCGTGTTTGCAAAAATTCTTTCTTGTAGGAAGTAAGTGCTATGTAACATTTTATCCACAAATCTCCATATTGCACGAATTTTTCATTATTTTATTTTGACTTTAGGGACAGTGGATATAAACTGCAGGCAAACTTACGTTGCCCATAACATTATAGTGTGTAAACGTCAGTTAATTTACTTATTTAAATATAAAATCTTTATAGTAAAAATGCAAAAATAAGTAATTTTGAATAATAAATATTTATTAGAGAAAGCATAAATCGTTTTACAAATATTTAAATAGGTATTTGTTTTTTTAATTGATATTTGCCTATTAACACTTTTATTAACTTATAGCTTTAGTAATAATGAACGGATTAATGTATCTTTTATTGTTCTAGGTAAGTAGGTAATAAGTTTGTCTATTGTCACATCATTAGCGCTAATAGAATAAAACTTTGAGTAAATTTCGTTGAATTATAAATAAAGACATCATGAAACTGTATCTAATGACCGTGTAACCGTTAGCAGAAGCAAAATTCCGGTAGTTAATGAATAGGAACAATCTGAAGAAGTAAATGAAGCAAAATAACGCGGACAGAATCATCAGCTAAATAGAAAATCAATAAAACGCCCATTAAAAGTAAAGAATCTAAAAACGTACAGGACACATTTCAGTTGAAAATTCAGTAGAAATGTTTTGTCGGAGCTTTGAAATAGTATTGAAAGCACTTCCCTTTACCTTTTGTGCTGCAAATTCACATCTCTTGAGACTATTGCGAGTTTGGTGAGACGTTCTCATGTCAAAAATTACTTTGTCGGTATTTACAGTAAGCGTCTCTTGGTATTTGAAAAATTTTGATCAAGTTTGGTAGGTATCGATCGGCTGAAAATCGTGAAACAAACAAACTCATTTCAGTGCCAGGAACCTCCACTCTACCTGAATGAGTTGCAGTTGCAAGTCGGTGACTTGCAGAAACCTCGAGAGACTCATAACATGTTCCAGCATTTATCGGCAACATCGATTTTGGAGAAATCAAGTCAAACAAGCAAACAATACAGCCCGATCGATCATTTGACAAAAGATGCGTTTTGTAGATAAGTCATAATATTGATTCGACTGTAAATAGTCGCGATTCAAATCGATGATCCATTAGCATCGGCTTCTTCGTTTCTTGAGTTAATGTCGCGTAATGCGGTCCGGAAGCGCGGAAAAACAGCTCGAAATGCACATATTATTTATAATAGGAGGGAAAGAAAACATGTCATGTCTGGAAACGTCGCCAAATGTAAACGAAGAGTAGACGGAAGCACGTCCCACCAAAGACCTAAAATATTCAACAGCACATCGCAAAAGTGTTCAAAAACAGAGCTATCCTAAGAATCAGACATCATTTATCAAGTATGTCGTGTGGTCCGGTGACTCCCACCATATTGAATATCGGCCACCACTGACATTTACAAATGAATAATAATTGTGTCCTTTTACTTTCAACAATAGATCTGATGCGGCTTTATGCACCAGCAATGACATTCGGGAGGAGACTGACTTACGATCTAATACAAGATTTCCATCAGCAAATGTTGTTTACTAAGACTTCCGGATGGTTTTGGTAGTTCACGAGCTGTCGATAAGTTTCACTGAGAGGAGACCACCGGAAAATGCAAAGTCATTATTCTAATAAAACACTTAGATCTCAATTACCAACATTGCCTTGAGCCTACCTAATTCAAATCCATAAAGCTTAAAAAAAAAAAGCTGTTTCAACATTTTAAATTATATTATAAGTTTTTAAATATAGTAATTTTGTTATTGATTAGCATAATCTGTCCAAATAGAAAAAATAAAAAAAACGTCACATATAATTGTAAAACAATAATTTGTACTTAAAAAAAATATTTATTTCACAATATGCCTCTGGATCAAGAGCTGCTTCACACTACAATTAATTCTACAAAATTAAATAAACATGTTTTTTACTTTATAGAAAGTTTGGTACTTTAACACATTGTATCTGAGAAAACAGAACACATACTAGTTTCTACAGATAACATAGAAGTAATAAAAATCTTTGCTACTTTCAATAATTCGAAGAGTTTATTTTAGTAAGTAAAGCATTGTTTCTAAATTTAGATTTATTGTGGTTCTCGATAAATTGAAAAAAATCTTAGTTAAAGTTCTAGTTAGTATTGTGCTATAATAAAACTTTAAAGTTTGAAGAAAGTCAATTGTGGATTTAAGAAAGCTTTACTTTATATGCGGGTTATCTCTACAAGATATGCCTCAACGTTAAAATTTATCTATACATAACTAAAAGTAAATAAAATTTTTGCAGTAATTTTACATAAATTTTAAACCAGAAATAATTAAAAACAAAAACTATTTAAGACTAAAGATAATTAATTTGCTAAACAGTTTTTTGCTACCTGACAAATTAAATTTTGACTTTTGCTACTTGCGACCTCTCGACCCATTTTTTCACCTATTGTTAACCAATCCAACAAAAAACTCTTCTTCATATTGTGTCTTCAATACCTCATTACCTACTGTTACATAACATGATTAATTAACTACATGACCAATTTGAATATAAGCAACATACTGAAAAGTTGAAGTAATCAATTTGAAGTAGAAAATATTCTGCGATTAGCATACCTGGACGTCAAAGTCTATAAATACTATCTTTTAAGTGAGACTAAAACCGAAACTCTTTGTTGAAAATCAGGGCCATTATGGCTAACTAGAGTCAATGTAGTTAAATGGAACAGTCATTATTTATCTTGAAATGTCTTTGAACGCACACCATAGGCAGATTCTTTGACCTTCACCTAGTAATCTACAATAATTACAGTGTTTGGTAGCTCAAAAAGCCTTCAATTTTACGAAGTGCAAAAAGAAAAAACCTTAACCTGACCTGAAGGTGCATCTTTTAAAATGCAAATGCGTTGCTAATATTTCTAACTGTATACAATGACAGTGATCAATCGCCAATCAAGTTATTTTTATATTTGAGACAAGTTGTTTGTAATGTATTGGTACATGAATACGTCTGTTCATATATATGCAAATTGTAATTTTTTAGTTACAAAAAATAAAAAAGTCAATTTCGTAACTTGGCACCAATTTTAAACGTATCAAGATTATTTATAATCATTAGGACTAAATAATATTGAGACTGATGGCTCGCTTGACACTGTTTTGATTTATTGTTTTTCGTTAATGTAAGACCGGAATTGAGAGGCGAGATGTTTTTTTTTATCCAAACACCTGTTTTAAATGAGTGGTGTTTTTAATTTTCGGTCGACAAAAGTGTCACCTCTTCGATGTATAATTTATGACGATCGTAAACCAAAACCGCAAGCTTGTAATCAGTTTACAAAGGGTTTACTACTTGCATGATTTA